GAGATCTGAGGGAATCCTGGATTGAAAGTATTTTCTCAATGAAAAATAGTAATCTAAGAAAATTATAGGAGACCATCAACACTGGGTATATAAGGCATTCAGTAGCCCAATAACACCTGAGTTAAATCCCTGCACCCAGTGCAAAAATAGCACCAGTATATGCTTTTGCTTTACTCTTTAGGGCTTCAAGTTCAATGCCACGGCCAACTCCTTGCCAACTGCCAGGGTGAGGCCGAGACTTCCGGGGATTGCGTTCCTCCGCTAGCTCAGCAAGGACCTAGGGCGCTCCTGAAACCAGCATCTGTCCACCACGCTCGCAGAACACTGTCTTCACTCTAGGGCTGACTATAAGGGACAACTGAGCTTTAACTGGGCCCCAGAATTACACTGAGATGAAACCGGTATAGCCCCAGGAATGTTTCCAGGATGGTAAACGCCGCACATGAGTCACTTAACTTTTCTTTATTTTTTTAAAATAGAAAAATGATCAAAAGGTATATTTTTTTGCAGCTACAAGTCCAAGAACTATTGTTCCGTGCTCGTTTCTGAAGGCTCAAAAGGTGGCAAAAGTCACTCTGCAAATGGGCACAGTGTGCCGTGAAAGAGGGTCTATTTTTGTGTATCTATCAGCAGAGACATTCGGAATATCTTTTTGTTGAATGAGATAAATTGCGCTTGTCCAATATCGTCCTATCCACAGTTCATTTATATTCGGCCTTTGAGCCTCAACCAATGTTGATTCAACAGCCAGCTCGGTCTCATTTATAATGGATTTTCTCCAATTGGATCTGTTTCATGTTAAAATTAGTGATGAAAGTCATTTTTTAATGGGACAGAAAGTGGGCAGCAGCAATTTCTAAAACCTAGCAGCTACCACTTAATTATTACCCATATCACCTACACAGAACCAGGATTATAGTAAAGCTTCGGCTGGCTCACACATACATGGGTATCACCCGTTTTTTTTCCCGTCTCTTTTTAAATTAGGTAATTATGATGCGGCTGAGTTGAGAAGGTCAGGACAACACCTCCAACAGCTACTGGAACACTTAAAGAAAATGAACTGTCACTGGATTCAGGCCAGGTACTCGACAGATCTTAAGTATCACTTACCTCCTGGCTGAAAACCAGAAGTGAACTCTGATACAAGTCTCTTGCCCACCTACCCCCTTGATGTTAGTAAACTATTAAGTAAGCATTTGGGTAATATGATGCGAAGTTAGTAACTGAGGTCTATAATTAACACGTATTCATATGCACACGCTAAAAATAGGGTACCGGGGAAAGTCTTCCTATTAGGTGGCGTGATCAAGAACTAATTGGTTAATGTCTATACAGCTCAACTGTATAAATAAACTGTATGATTATGATAATTACAAAGATCACAGTTCAAAATCCACTTGGAGTTCAAAGAATAGTAATTTATACATCTAAGTATAGACGCAAATGTTTAACTGTGTAAAAACACTTATTTTAATGCTATTCCAAATGTTTAGTATTACTCACTGGTCAGGTTTTACTTTTTTCTTGTTTTCTTTTCACTTTTTCTTTTTCCTAGAGATCGAATCCAGGGTTTTTGCACTGTGCTACATCCACAGCCTTTTAAAAAATTTTTTATCATGAGACAAAATCTCACTAAGTCAGTAGGTTGCCTAGCTGGGCTTGAACCTCTGATCCTCCTGCCTCAGCCTCCTGAAGTGCTGGGATTATAGGCATGCACCACCACTACTTTTTTCTTTAATAAAATGTCTTACAGGAGACAAGAATTCATAATCCCTGTACTGCTTTCATGAGATTAATGTTATTTAAACGTTTTTTGTTTTTGGAAAAACTGGTCCCAGGAAGGGAAGAAGGAAGTTCCGGTGTTACATCCAGAAAGTGCCTTATGAATCAGTGCATACTGGGGGATGGTCCAGTGGAAGGTGATTTACACTTATTGAGAGCCGAGTGGATGTGGGAAGGCGAATGACCAAGTTGTTGTACAGATGACAGTCACATCATATACCAAACTAGACTTTTCTGAGCGAGTTCAGGATGTCCCTTTGCTTCGGGCCATGATGAATGAATATCCCAGTTCCCAGGGCAGCAGAAGTTGGGATGAGAGTGAGAGAAAGCCAGGCAGGGATACCGGCGTGGACACGTGTGATGTCCAAAGTGCCCTCCCTGGGTGTCACCGCAACAAGCAAACGCAGGTGGCGAGGTTGGCGGCACCTGATCCTGAAGGGCTTTGCCCACTGAGGAGTTTGGGCTTCTGCTCTAAGTCACTTAAAGTTTCTGGAATGGCACAGGCCTGGCCTGGGTCTCCCTGGGGAGCGCAGGGCCGTGTGGTACCACGTGTGAGGCTTCAGGCGGGCCCGGCACAGACCTGGGACGTCTCACGCTAGAGCTGTGGTGCGTCGGGCCGGGGAGGCCGAGCTGAGTGTTTTCTCTCCTCTGCTCAACGTTTAACCACATCTCAGCAAGGATAAATGTACTAACAAACAGAGAGACCCAGCCACGACCACCGTCAGGCTCGTAACTCGCTTATGCCTTCAAAGAAATCTTTTTCTAGTGATTCCAAGGCAATTTCACATTGAAGTTCGGATTTCCAGATTCTCTTAAAAAACAAAACCAAAGACTCGCCGTGGTAGAACAGTAAATGCGAATGCTGACAGCTGAGCCGAGCCGAGGGTGCCGGTCCCCTCTCTGGAGCGTGTGTGCTGCCCAGTGACCCAGGAGCTGCCTACCTCCACCACACCCCCTTCGCCGGCCTGGGGCACCAGGCGTTTAGGTCGCCGCCTTGTCTTTCCCAGCTGTCCACCTGGGCTAGCAAGAATAACTCCGCCATGGCATGCAGTACATTTCTTGTTGCTTTTACCAATGCATCTGTCCATCCGTCCGTCTGTCTGTCTGTCTGTCTGTCCCTGGGCTGGACCTTATGGGGGAGAGCAGAGCTTGCTGCTAACTCCCTGGAGGCAGGCGGCCAGGCACAGACCTGGGGACATGTCTCCCAGTCCTGGGGCCACCCACCGGCCACCCCAGCGACCCTTAACACAGAGCTTACTCCAGAGCTCCCTCCACCTCGCCTGCTAATGGGCCTCAACCCTGACGCCCAGCATCACTATTACAGTAACGACCTGCCAGAAGGGTGTGGTAAGTTTTCCTATTACTAGCACAAAGGGTGAGCTTTGAGAGCGAGCGGGCAGCTGCTGAGGGGCAGAGTAACGGAGTCGGTAAAAGCTGACTGCGTGGTTTTGGTGTATTTCATATGGATTTCGGTCTGGCTAGTTTTGTACTAGGCAAAAAAAAAAAAAAAAAAAAAAAAAAAAAAAAACGAACAAATCAGGCCTCTGAAATTCAAAGACCCAATCCAAAAATGGGCTCCTGCTATACATCAAGGCCAGCCTGAATTTCATAGATACAGAGTGTCTTTACCAGAAAAAAAAAAAAAAAAAAAAAAAGTTGCAAAACTCAAGATTATGGCATTTCCTGGACTGTAAAATGGAGAGGCCGATGATATAATTTATGAGAGGTCTTTCTGTGGTTACTGTCTTTTCACATCTTTTTCTTCTGGCATTTAGACGCTAATCGTTCTCTGTGGTAAGAGGTATTACATACAGGAAACTGGGTGAATTAATCAATGAAAGTGGCTTGTTCCTTCTATTCCCTTTCTCAAAAGAAACCAGAGAAAGGCGCCCTTGTTGCCAGGTTCCAGTTTCCTGAACGATGCTCAGAAAATAGGTAGCAGATGATCAGTTCAGCTTAGGTGACGACGACCGCGGTTCTCGTCCTCCTCCCAAAAACTTGGGGACGAGGGGTAGCTGGGAGTGAAAACAAGATAATAGCAGGGGAAAATGATGATCAGTCTCCCCGCCTGCTACACAGCCTGCACAGCCAGTAAATGAAATAGCCGTCGTCCCCCCAAACAGGATCATGGCCCCTCAAAGGATGAACTGGCTTGAATGGTACAAGGGTAACAAGGATGCAGCTCAGGCAGGTTTTGAGTAAGTTAAACCTCCCGGTGACAAAGACCCTACAGAGAGCAGAAGCATCCTTTTCTTCACAAATCAATGGGAGCTATTCAGGCCAATATGGTTTGATTTAGCAGATATTAACTACAGCCAGAGTGATGCAATTACGTCAGCAAAAGGAGAGCGAGATAAACCAGACACCCACACTGGCTAAAAAACGGAGAAGAGAACAGAGAGTGACATTTAAAGACCAGATCCAAAGGATAAGAAAAACTAGAGAGAAGTAAGACGGTGTGACATGAGGTCCTCAGGCAGCAGGGACTCGAAGGGGACAGATCCAGCAATCCCCCTTGGACTCACTGGACAGAGGAGAGAAGATAATCGATCCTGGAACACAAGCGCCACACAGGCACTTCATAAGTGTTTGTTGAACAACCCAGTGTACCTGAAAAAGTCCTTTCTTTCTGGCTATGAAGACACACCGAGATTTTTCACAGTCCCCTCCTCGCAAACCTTTGTCCTTTGGAGAGGGGTAAAAACATGGGCCGTTTTAATGGTGATTCCGAAACAGCTGCTCATCTAGAGCAACTGACACGAACCTCCTCAAGGACGCCTGACACTGCGCCCTCGCAGATTCAAGTAGAGGGTCTCTACACAGTAGTTTGGGCACGGGACCGAGTCGGGAGACCAGGACTCCAAAATCGGCTCTGCCGCTAAGTGGGTGATGCCAGGCAGCCACTCGACCTTCCCGTATTTCTGGTGTAACTGGAGCAACGGGGGTGGCTTCCCTGGGTAACCGCCAGGACTTCTCGCTCTCCTAAGCACTGGGCAGGGCGTCTATTACTGCACTGATCCCGGGTTCCATGGTTCCATGGCTGCTACACACTTGCCCTGTGTGGGCCAGCCTTGGATGGCAGGTGGAAGTGTGTGTGTGTGTGTGTGTGTCTGTGTGTGTGTGTGTGTGTCTGTCTGTCTGTCTGTCTCTATTGCCTGCTAGTAGCGGATTGTCAGCAGTACCTTATATAATCAAGTCTCAAAATGTTTACCCACCGGTATTATCCGACCATTGCTCTTTCCTGTTCTTGGCGTTTTCTTTCCCGGGCAGAGGGACAGGGAGAGAATTTCGCTGACGCCCGTGGGAGGCCACAGTGAACAAGGATACATTTCCACCGCTCTTGGCGCGGCAGGGTGCTGCCTGTGTTCGCCGGCTGGGAGATTTGAGGTGGTTTGCTCTGCTGTCCTGCGCCTTCGGAGACTCTATTAAAGGTCTGGTGCACATATGCAGGTCTTCTTTTTTCACTCTTAGCTGGATCCCCTTCCCCCATGGGAGTGAAAATAACTGTGCAGACCAATCAAACTTTCTGATGCAAATCTATAGCCTCGTTCCTAAAGAACTAAACAGGCTGAATGCATTACTTATAGCACTTTTGGATAAAGTAATAATATAAGTAAAGTCTTTTTGGCATTCTGAGGTGAATAGGAGATATCAAAAAATCACAGCAGAGGGATGAGGAAACCTGGATTCTGGTCCCCAGCCTGCTGCTAGCTCACCCTGGGCAATGCTCTTAACTTCCATACAGCTTGTCTGTAAACACACTGAACCAGCTGCGTTCTGTGGCCTTCCATAGCCCTAATACTCTATAAAACGCCTCACTGGTCAGGAGACTGTCATTTCGAACTAAGTCACTTCCACCACGACAATTCTGTTCCCAAGCAGCAAGGTATCAAAATGTACTCACCTGACAATTATGCCAAAACATAAGCTGAGCTCACGACTTGCGGTATCTCTTTAAAAAAGCAGCAATCCATACAAAAGGGAAAGGGGTGAGGTCGGATTATATAACCAGAGCCCTATTTAACGTCCACCAGCACAGAGCTCTGCAGAGCACATGGGAGAGAGAAGTCCACAGATCTCGGCGCTGGACCCTGTACTTCAGAACCCAGAGGTCTCTGGACTAGACGCCAGGTACAACCTCATCCAGCGCACAACACCATGATTTGGGGAGTTTAAAGTTACATAGCAATACTGAGTACCTTTAAAGGCAGAGAGTAGCTCAGTATGTGAGTATATGCGGATGCATTTGCTAGACAAGATGGTGCCCTGCATGGCCAGCAAAGGATGGAAATGAGACATTTACGTCTCAAGAACCCCACAAAACGCCCATCACCAAATGAACAAGGTACCTCCTATTTGCGTAGCTTTTCACAATTTTCCTAAACACCCAACTACTTTGGCATATGTAACCATAAGGCACACACGGAGCACAGGTGGGTTCTCCCTTGTCTAAAACGCTCGGAGCCAGAAGAGTGGAGCTTTCTCTCCCTCCCTTCCTCTATCCCTCTCTCCCTCCTCCCTCCCTCCCTCTGTTCCTCCCTCTTCCCCTCACCTCTCTTCTTTTTCTTCTGGATTTTGGAATATTTGCATGAATTTAATCCAAAAATCCAAAATATTCCAAAATCCAGAACGCCCTACTTAAAACGTGTCCGACTTCAGAGCCTTTTCGGATCTCGGACTTTCCAGACTCGGATGTGCACCCGTGTAAACCGGAGGGGTTCATGAGCTCACGGGCATCGTACACACTTGGATCATCCTGCTTTGGTTGTTGACAGCTGGACCAGAAACAAAATAAAACAAAAAATCTAGAAATAAGACCTGTGATAAAACTACCTTCCAAAGCACTTCCTAACAAGCCTTAAACGCACTGTCTCTTTTCACCCTCGGAATAATCCACGGAAGCCAGTGTATTATTATCCTCAGGAGGAGACAAGCGCTGAGGCTGAAAAGTCAGACCACCTGTACTCTGGACGAATGTGCCAAGCCTCAAGTGTTTACGTCAAATACCTGGAGGAAAAACAACCCGAGAGGCAGCTGGCAGTGAGACTTCATGGTTTGGGCATAAGTCTTGACTAATGTGTCTTAAATTACCAAGCATATCTTTAAATAAACGTGTGCCACACAGCTCCAATTCAAACACCAATCTTCACCGCGATAATTACACCGGCTGTGACATGCGCTCAGCCCACAGTGTATTTTCCCTTTAACAAGCCTGAGTAAGTGCATGAGTGTGGGCTGAGCTTTTTGCTCGACAGTCAATACTTGAAAGCTGGCTCCAACCTTTAATTTAAGCATTCGCTTGTAGCCCCAACAGGGCGACGGGGGTTCTGGTATCAAAGACGCACTACTCCTTCCTTTCATGGTCCTCCCGTAAGCAAGCCATTGAACTGCAGAGCTGCAGAAACTTGTTTGCCCTCCTCCCGGCAGCACAAGCCAAAACACCACTGCCTCATTCATCTGAGCAACATCATAATGAAGTCCCGAATCAATCTGCAGCAAGCAAAGTGCCGAAGTCCACTGAAGGAGTCCGTGGCAGGTGCCTTGCCTTGATCTCCCCGCAGCGCACACACGGCTAAGCGACAGCGCCGACACCCAATCAAGCCGAGCGGCATCCCCTGCCACATCCAAAAGGCTTTTCTATTTCCCCCTGAAACGATGACGGGAGAGGAAGGTGCTGAGAACATCTGATTGTCCCTAATGATTCTAAGAGCTTTAAAAAATATTTGACACCTCCCCCGGGGCCTTGCGCGCCTTTCAGTGGAAAGAGCGCCTCCCTCCGTGCGCAGGTGAGGGCCTCTCATAGGCTGAACCCTGCCGGCTCCTCTGCAGGCCTTGTTTCTGGGAGTCCCTACAGGTCACACTGAAGTCCTGGCTGTCCCCAGACTGGCCTTGCTCGTTGCCTGGCCTGTGAGAATTCCACAACCCGACGCTTTGTCAGGAAGGGCTGGCTTCAAAGCTCTCCGAGCCTTCCCTCTTCCCCCAAGCTGTCCTCAGCGGTGGTTCTCACGAGGGCCCCTCCTCGGTGATGTGCGCCTGTCGTGTGCTGTGCTACCCTCTGCCGTGGTTTTGTGTCTACTCAAGCCCTCCCTGGTCTGGCGCTTTCTTTACTGACTGGCACACACCAGATGCTTAACACATTTCTATGTGTAATTTGTCTCAGATGAAGGTTCGGAAAGAGCCCCCAGCTGACATGTACAAGCTGGCTTGATCTCAGAGTCGGGAACAATGTATTTTGTGACACTCCCTTGGTGCCGGGGCCATTCGCTCAGAACAGCGGGTGGGTGGGCCCAACCCGGGGAAGCGGACTGACTCAGCCTCCAACTCTGTAGGTATGAGCTAGGCTGCGATCCCAGACAGGTTGCTTTGCCTCTCTGAGTCTTGCCTTATACCTCGGTAAAAAAGGGGGTGAAAGGCTACGGTGGGTATTACACACGCTCACCCATGTCACAGTGCTTGGCACAGCGGAAGTGCCTTGTGAACAACAGGCTCAGAACACGTAATAATGGTTGCAACAGCAGGGCTTGGACAGGGCGGGGTTAGAAGCCTCTTATGTTACACGATGAGAAACATCCACGTTCCCCACCCACCAGCCCCTTCCGGCCAGATCGCAAGGCACACGGGCTTGGACACCGGCAACACCCCTGTTCAAGCCCAGGGTGTGGCATGGGTGTTAGGTGTGTGTGAAGACATGATTGTAACGTTGGACTTGTGCATGTGATGTACACCTTTCCCTGGGGGTGTGAGGGGATGGGGACGTCCCGCAGAGTGAGACATGGTACCAAGTGTCTTCCATGTGTGGGAGGTGGAGAGCTTTATTTTCATTTTATAGTACTGGAAATCGAACTCAGGACCTTGCGCTTGCCAAGCAGGTGCTGTGCTGCTGAGCGATAGCCCTGGCCCAAGATCTTTATTTTTACAGATGATAAATATGACGTTGCCCAATACCCGCCACCTAGTATACAGTATTTGTGGGAGTTAAACAGTATGGCTGGAAAAATTTTCAAGGCCATCCTTGCCCTTAGATCTACACAAAGCTCCTTGGAGTCCTTCTCCATGTATCTCCTGTCGCCTGAATGAGCCAGCCAGGACGGCACACAGAGCAAAGCAGCGGGGCGGGGCATGGAACACTTCACCCCTCAGAAGACCTTTCTGCACCTGTGCTGCCTCCGCTGCGCCCTCTGCATCACTTTTTCCTTCCTCCCCACCTCAAGCCTCGTGCCACAGCCAGTGCCGACAAAAAGAAAAACTCGAGGGTGGATGACTGGGGTTTCCTGATGGGGGAGCACCGTGCACACACATGTGAAGTGCAGAGGTGCTTCTGGTGTCCCCACAAGCGGGCAGGGGCTCACTTTTACCCCAGGAAGTGGTGGTATAAAAAAAAAGAGGTGAAAGTAAGCAAAATGTCTGTTATATGACACTGTGAAAAATTCCAAGTCTATGCTTCAGACTGAGAACATCTTACTTAGAAAGACTCCCCACTAGAATGTCCCCCTCTCTGAGCTGGCATCATATCCAAAGCCCAACACACATACAGAAACTGACACAAGTTATGATCACAAACCAGATGAATTTTCTGTTTGTTTTTGAGACAGGGTCTCGCTATGCAGTTCAGGCTGGCCTTGAACTCACACTGTAGCCCAGGCTGGCCTTGAACTCACAGCGATCTTGCCTCAGCCTCCCCAGTGCTGGGATTATAGGCATGCACCACCACGCCTGGCTAAGTCAGATGAATTCTCACAGTGACACCACCACCACCAGGAGGGAAAGGTCTTTCTACGCTGGGTCATAACCACTGAATAATGCAAAACAATGTATCCAAGTTATCACTTTGCTTCAGTTAGGAAAAGGTAGAAACTAAACAAAACACAATGCCTAAGAAGTTAAAAAAAATCTAGATTAACTTCAAAGGGATAATTATCTTGGAATTTGACTTTCCAAGTTGGAAAGTTGGGAGTTTCGTGCTTTTAGCCATGAGCAGCAAGCTGCGTCACCTCTGGTTACACAGCACGTGTGCTATGGCCCCAGCCCTCACTGGCTGGTCAAACCATGCTGGGAGCGGGCAGCAGGCTCTGGGGCACCGCCTCCTCTCTTAGTTACAGCACCAGGCACAGGACTCCAGAGCTGCAGGTTGTGCCAATCTGCACCAGCTCCCGTGAACCGACAGCTTCGCAACAGCAGAGCAGGCGAACCACGGCAAACTTTTGTTTAACAATCACAAAGGGGATGGTCCTGCCCCAGAGGGCGGTCTACGTGTCCACCTGTCAGATGCTCGCAAAGTGATTACAAAATTGAGAACAAGTATTTGGGTACGGCTTCCTAGCTGCACGCTGTTTGTCACAAGAAACTTCAGGGAAAGTTGGCCATTTACGCATTTAATCAGTGTAACGGAACCGAGTCTGCTAAGCACAACTGCAGTTAGTCGAGGACCCAGCCTTTCTGTCACATGCCAGATACCAACA